TAAATATGTTTGAAGGCAACTACACAGCCACAAACATACATACATACACACATGGTTGCAACTAGGGAAGCACTAAACGACTCTGTGCTAATAGCAACGAGTATTTGTCGAATGAGGGCAGTGAACGTCGAAATTAAAAAAAGGCATCGGATGTATGTATATGCGTGTATGTATGTTTGTGCATACGATTACGTAGTGGAGAGTGTATATGCGATTTCTGTCTGTCGGAACACCTCAATTTATATACACATACATAGGTATATGTACATATGTAAGCACATCAGTCAGCGAACAGCGTACAACCTATCGGCGAATAAATGGGGTGTGCTGCTTGTAAAAATTGTAACTACAACAACATACATACATACATGTATGCACATACTACATATGCAGTAAGTACGAAATGGAATATTCATAAAAATGAATTTAAGTAGAATACCACGCACTAATTATGAACGCAAACAGTACTTCCCCTAACGTATGTGTAACATTTGGGTTGCGCATGCGCAAACGGCAGATGTGACATTTTCAACACACAACTTATAGCATATGCCGTTCGACTGTTGCATTGCCATTCAATATTTAGCTATCGGTTGCAGAAGGCTAGATTGTTGTTGTTTTTTTCCTCCTTTACAGGCTATGATGCTGGTGACACCAATTTAAACCGTAGTCAGAATTGTAACGATAAATATATTGAAACATTTTTTATGTATGTATGTATATTTAAACTCTGCTTAAGCTACTTGCATTTGGAAAAAAAATTGTAAATGTGTAAGTAAGTCGAACAACCTTTTCCAAAGCCGAGCGGATTAGGACCAGCACACTAAAAATTGTGCATTAATTTAAGTTGACGAAAAGAATACCTATTTTGACAGGCGCATTTGTATGTAATTGGAAGCTACATACATTTCTACAGGGTCTTCGTTGTTCCTCCTGGGTGTTTGCAAACTAAATAACCCCATTCAGGTTATAAAAATATTTTTTATGCGCCAATATGGCCCAAATATTGTTTAGAGGAAAATCATCAAACATATGAAAGGATTAATTCACAGGAAAATAGTCAATGCGACCAATGTGCTAACGTCGTCGTGCAATTAACGGCATATACATATGTTCTATTAGAAAAAAGCGATCAACAGATTAGAAAGGGTTGTATACACCGTTATATGAAAGGTATCCTGAGCACTCTAAGTCTTCAATTACATGCATGTGAGATTAGAATCAGAGCGTGAAAGCATAGCAATCACTTGGGGCTATGAAGAAAATCCTTTATTGGAAAGGTTAACCAAACAAATTAAACCGGTGGACAAGCGAAGCTAATTCATAGGATTTGATGAAAATGCCTGAGGAATCTTGGAGTCTCTGATTAAAAAAATATATATGGATACTGAAATAATTAGGAAATTGAAAAAAATTAACTACACTCAATGAATTATACTGATAAGTCCATTTGGAGTTGCATTTCTGAAGTACATAAAATGCATTCGACGATTTTTACGGACAGTGAAATTATTCAACAACAAGTAAGGATGAGCTAAGTTCGGGTGTCACCGAACATTTTATACTCTCGCATGATAAAGTGATAATCGAGATTTCAGGCGTGGTTGTGAACCGATTTACCGATTTCACCCATATTTGGTACATGTCATCGCGGTGTTAAGAAAATATTATATACCGAATTTCATTGAAATCGGTTGAGTACTTCCTGAGATATGGTTTTTGGTCCATAAGTGGGCGTCGCCACGCCCAT